ATGATCATCTCCAGACCCGTGCTGATTTGCTCCAACTTCTCCTTCAATGCCGCAAGCTCCTCAAGACGTGCGCTTACCAACTGCCGCGCCAGTGCTGCCTCCTTCATAGCAAATCTGCGCTAGATGTCAGAAAGAAATGGAGCTCATGCGAACTTAGCTCATATATCTAAATTTAGACAATTGAACGGATAGTTGTCATTTTGTGGTCCACAGGTAACTGACGACATGTAATTTATAATAAATTTCGTTTTGCTAAGGTTGCTTCTGGTTTGGCCAGGTTGCTGGAAGTGTTGCTTTAGTGACAAGGTTGCTATATATGTCGTCGTCAGATTGTAAATGGGGAAACTTATGGTTGCGGTAACGCCATTCAGAATAGACAGAACAAAAAGTACAGATGCTCAAGGAAATGTGTATTACGACATGACAAGCGCCCACACTCTTTTGATGTCACGCTGGCAAGCCTACTCTTGTTCACTCTCATGTTCATCACCGCCGTCTTCCTCATCTTCACGAAGTCGCAACTCTCGACGGGTCTTCTTGTGCACACCTGCCTTCTTCCCCGGGCGTCGCAAGACAACTCTCTTTCCCAGTGTTGCAGGAATGTTTTGGCCGCAGTCGAAGTCGTCGTGCCAGATCTCAAAGCACGTTTTAGCTACACCCTTGTACTGACGTCGTATCTTGCTGCACAGCCAGCACTTTGCATCGTCAATACAACAGCGTTCGCAAAAGTAAGTTGTAGCAAACGACTTCTTCTTTCGATTCGTGCGCAACAGGGCACACACCTTGCAAGATTGCTGGCGACGCTTCTGAATGCCCGTAACGGTCAACCAGTCATCGGCCTGTTCGACAGCATGTGTCAGACGTAGTTGGGGGCGCTTCCGCTTCTGGCTGCTAGGTGTCGGTGCTGCAACAATACCAGCGAAGTCCTCCACTTTCAGCTCAGTAATTGGCCTTGCAGGACTCCGAACCATTCTCCTCGCTTCATCACCGGCGTTCCAGCGATACGTGCAGCCTCTTTGTGCGAAATAAACGCATTTACAAGTGCCAAATCCACGAAGCCTAAAAAAGGCTTTTGTAGTTTTCTTGAACTTCGTAAACTTCTGCAAAGAGTACTTCTGTAGGCGGAGTTGATCATGGACATCAACTCCGCCCATCCAACGTTGATAGTCGGTTACAGCCGCCGGGCAGGGCACGGTAATTGTACCAACGCGCTTGATGTTTCGTGTAATAGTCGTCTCTGTCATTGCCGAGCCTGTGCACAGGTAATGCACAGGTTTCAGGTCCCACCAGTGAAATGCAACCATATTTGGAATGGCGACAGAACGAGAGAACGTGAACATGCCTCGGGGAGCGCTTGCTGGACGTGACTTGCGTTTCCCTGTGACATTTGCATCATATCCAAGCCGGTTGGTCATTATCGTGCCTATCACGTACACCTGCATGCCCAGTAGCTCGATAGCAAGTAGAATTGACGAATAGAAGCGGTCGATAACTACTGCGTGCCATGGGAGCCGGGTGTTGGGGCCAAGCACTGTCTTCAAATTTCTAGCGACTGCAGCCGCACCGGTCTTATGGTCAAATGTTGAATGCTCTCCATCTCTTCTTTTGCCCGCATACAGCTCCAATCTAGTAACATACGACATAATTGGTGAGAAACCAATCTAATGTCATAACTGACGACGTAAGAAGAAAAAACCAAATCTCTGACAGTACGCGGTCCTTGAATCACACACCATAAACATTTTCGAGCCATACCGATGAGGCTTATCGGGAATGAACATTCTAGTCGTGTTTCTTTTAGAAGTAGAAGGCAGAACACCCTCGTCAAAAGCGAACACTGCCGGGAGGGTCCACGCAATCAAGAAACGATTCTGCATTGTCTCGACTACCATTCGCAACTTCCAGAGCCTGTCTCGCGTACGCTCCGCCTCGTTGTCCACAAAGTGCAAGTCACGCAACATGTCTTGACATCGATTACGGCCCATGAACCTTCCAAAATTACCTGCAGGAACGGCCCCGTCCTCCACCATCGACCAGTGAGCGGCAAAACGTCGCTTTTGCGGGCAGAGCATGCGCGCAATCAGGAGACCTATCATGTGTAAGATCTCGTGCGTCTCGTATCCCGGCTTTGCCTTCAAACGCCGACTAATCTGCTTAACCGTCTCCTTTCTCCGATCGTGTTGCTTTGCATGAATTCTTTCTGCACGTCTGGTGACTTGCTAAAGACCATACCGATTCGTCTCTGCAGCTATCTTGGCCCATAGCGACTTGGGCATAAAGTAAAAGAATGTAAGTAGTGGAGAGTGACAAACGTTTAGTAGCTCAGCGACCGGTCGTGCCTCTTCCATATTCAGACCAGAGTACGCTTCGACACCCTCCTCAAACTCGTGAGTGACTGGAAACCACTTTATTGAACGTAACGCGTCCTCACGTTGCTGCTTGGCTTGACTGTTGAGGGCATCGCTGCCTACTTCTCGCCCACGACGGTCTTAATTGCCTTTAGCAGTCATAGCCATGGCTGCACGGTGAGCCTGACGCGCCTGCTTCGCCGCTTTCGCATCAAGTACTTCCTGCTCACTCGGCTTGGCATACAGCTAGTCGTCTTGAAATTCATGTGGCACGTACGGTCTGATGCTGTAGTACATCGTTTCGCGTTTCTCTACGTTCGGAGGTGGTGGATTCAGCACGTCCACGTATTCTTGCATCGTCGTAGTCATCTTCTCCTTTGTAGTAAGCACGCCGTCAACCTTCCGCCGCAAATTCTTCTTTTTACAATATCGTCATCAGGTCCTTTTTGGCAAGAAACCACCCCCAACTCGGACGAGTCCATAGATGATATTTGGAATTGTTGTATTCCATCCAGTCGCTTGTATAACTCCGTCAACACCTCTTTGTACGTCTTGAACTGCTCGCTTCCACGTGGGATGTGAACCGTCGCGGAGTTTGACGCAGCTGCCTTCACCGCGTCTACTACATGCGGCACCGTCCAGCAATCGATATTGGCGATATGCTTTCTGATGTGGCCGAACCCGCGGTCGCACGAGTTTTTTTAATGGCTCTTTACAAAGAACTTGTAGTCGACGTGATTCAGCAGTCCCATGTCTACCTGCGCCAACAAGAACTTTATGACATCGTTGTTCTTGTTTTGGCCCGAGCAGTTGTCTGCGTAGACAGTCAGGCGGGTCTTGCCTTTCGCAAGTACTTTCGTCCTCAGAAAATGCTCCAAAATAGAGTTAATCTGGTCACTTCCTTTGCCACTGGCCGTTTCGTCGTACAGATAGTTGGTCTGGGCGCCGTCGTTTCGTAAAAGATGCCAAAGCAGTTGACAGACAATAGCGAGCAAAAATACCTCGTGGTCCATCAAATAGATACCTATATCCTCAGCATCCTCCGCGCCGCTTCCTTCGCTCTCCGCTGTCAGGGGCTCGTCGTCGTTGCTACAGTGCCAGTGCATGCAGCATAAAGGACCAACACATACAAATGCCTTTCCAAGGTTACGCCGCTCGGTGGTCAATTGATCCATGCCACAGAG